TTTTATTTTTTATTTATATTTTTTTTTATTATTATTATTACTTAGTAGTTTTTTATATTTTTCAAGTTCTTCTTTTAAAGTTTAAATTTCTACATTTAAACTAGTCATATCAAATTCTTTTTCTTATCTTAATTATTTAATACTAGTTACTAAATCTTTTTTCTTTAAATATCTTCTCTAAGGTCTTTAATAATTTTATCTTTTTCTTCGATTTTTTATTTCATTTCTTATATTTCAAGAGGAGAGACATATTATTTTTTTACCTAATCGATTTCTTATTGTAATTTTTCTTTATCATTTTTTCCGATTTTAGTTATTTCTTAAATTTTATTTTATAAGTTTTTTATTTCATCATTTAATAATATTTCTTTTTCTTCTTATTTTTCCAATTCTTCTTTAAGTTCTTTATTTTAATCTTTCAATTTAGCAATATTCTCATTTGCTTAATTTAAAGACGCTTTATTTGTCAATAATTAAGCTTCAAGCGTGGTATTTTATTTAGATAATTTAGAGTTGTTTTCTTAGAAGGAAACTTCACTTTCTAATTTAGTCTTAGCAACAGTTTTATTAGTTTATTAAGAAACATTTAAATCATTCAAAATATTATTAATTGACTTATTATTCATTTGGGAAATAGAAAATCCTTTTTTTATATTTTTTAAAATTCTTCAATTAATTTTTTATTAATATCATTAAGTCTTTCAATTTCTCTTTTTTAAAATTTGTCCTTTTCTATACTTTTTTTATCATTTTCTGAAAGTTTTTTTATAATAGCTTCTTTATGAGAAACAACATTTATATTTTCCGCGTAATTTTCGATTAGTCTTTACATATATTTATTATCTATTTTATTTTTATCGTTTGAATTTGTTACATATGAGGTAAATTTCGATGTAAGTTCTTTTAAATCGGAAATAAATTTTTCTTTTTAAAATATTATCTGAGATTCTTAAGTAGATTTTATTTCATTATATAATTTATTTTAGTTTCTCATTTCCTATATAAGTAAAAATAAATATTTTAATATAAAAAAATAAAATATTCTAATATAAATATATATTTATATCTTTATGCTTATATATTACTTCTCTTAAATCATTCAAAGCTTTTTCGGATTTTTATTCTTCTTCTATTAATTTAGCCTATAGTTATTCTTTTTGTTTTATTTCTATTTATTTTTCCAGTTTTAATTATTCGATTTGCTTATCTAAATCTTTTTCGTTTTCTTTTGTGCTTATTAAATTTAATTTTGCATTTTTTTTTTATTCCATTAAATTTATTATTTCGTTTTCTTTTAATTCTAGTTATTCTTTTAATTCCTTTTTTTAAAAAAATAAATAAATATATTTTATTAATATTAAGAACATTTAATTTTAATTTACTTTATTATATTTATTTAAATATTAAATTTCTGCCTATAAATTATTATTTTCATTTTTTTAATTAAAAATCTACATATTACTTTCACTTTCTAAACCTCTATATTATATTTCTAATTCTTTTATAAATTTAATAATATTATTCTATTTTTATTTTAATATAAATAAACTAATAAAATAATAAATTATATATAATTACTTTTTCATTGACTTCTTTAAATTAAAGATTTAATTAAGAAATAATTCTTTCTTTTTCATTATTTAGTTATTTAAAAAGATCTTTAAATTTATTTAATTCATCTAATAATTTAGCATCATTAAAATCTGTATGTTTTGTTTATAATTAAAGTATATTATTTTCTTATAAGGCTTCTTCGTTTTCTTTCATAGCTTATTTAAGTTATTATCTAATAGAATAATTTTCATTTTGTAAATTTTATATAGAATTCTCTAATTTTTTTATTTTAGAACAAAGTTATTCATAATTTTATCTTTCTTAAAATAATTATAAGTCTTTTTATTATAATTCCATTTATAAATCTCTAAAAGAAACTTCTGATTATTCAGAATTCATTGAAATATCATTTTTACTTTCAGAATTTTTATTTTTATTAGTTTATTTTTGTTTTTTATTTATTTTTTAAATATCTTTTTCTAATAATTTTAATTATGAATTCAACATTAATTCCTTTTATAACCAAATTTCGTTGTTTCTTTATTTTTCTTCGATTTCTAATTATAAATTATTCTATAATTGCTAATTTTCGTGTTTTAAAGCTATTAAATTATCATCATTTTGTCTTATTAACTATACATATATATTTTTTATTTTTTTATATTTTTAAAATTACTATTTCAATTTCTATTTGAAGTTATTTTTTTAGATTTTATTTATTTAAAATTTCTTAGTTTAATTGAATTTAAATTGTATTTATTTTATCTGTAAATTATTATTCAATCTATATTAAAATTAAATAAAAAAAATTAAAAATTTTAATAGTTAAATATATAATTATATATATGAAAATAAATATAAAAAAATATATAAATATATATATAAATATATATATATTTACATATATATATTTCTATATATGTATGTATATTTTTATTTATATTTAATTAATGTTACATCAGCTCTTTTTTTTTCTGCCCATACAACTTAATCTTTTTATGTATCTAATTATGAGTATATTTTTTCTAATTCCATTCCGTATTTACGATTTATCTCATTTATTTTAGAATTTTCTTACATATAGGTTTATAATTTAAGGTCAATTTCGTTTAAGTCATAAGTTAAATTTTTGTTTTATTTTTCCTTTTCTTCTATTTATTTTATTAATGAGTTATTTTTTTCTTATAAATCTTATATTTATTGGTCAAGATAAGGCTATTAAAATGTGAATTTATCAATTTCTTATTTTAATAATTATACTTCATCTTAATATTTAATTTTTAATTATTTTATTTCCTAAATTTTAATTATATAATTATAAAATGATATATAAAATTATATAAATGTTAATACCAATTCAAATTTTTAATTAACTTTTGAAGTTATATCAATTTTTTCTTTTAAAAATTCATTTTTATTACAAGTTTCTCTTAAACATTTAATTTCGTTATCTTTATCAAACATATCATTTTGAAGTTCAATATTTTTTTTTTACATTTCGATTTGGTCGTTTCTATAATTATCTTCAATTTTTTTAATTTTAAATTCATATTCATCTACCAAAGAATTCAAAAAATTAATATTTTAGCTTAGATTATTATTCAAATTTTGATAATCTTCGGCTTTTTGTTCTAAAATATTTATTTTTTCCCTTAAACCTTCACATTCACTTTATATTTCGTTTTTATCTTTTTTTATTCGTTCAGAAGATTACCAATAATCAAAATTAGGGTCACTTTCAATGCTTTTATTCTAACATTATTATAAATTTTAATACATTTATTTTATCTTATTATTTTCTTCAATGAGTTTTTACTCTTTTTATTCATATTATTATTACAAAAGTGATATATTATCAAATTAAGTGATAATTTATTTATATTATTTATTAAGAATTTCATAATTTTTTTTTTCTTTTTGAAACAATTCTTCTAATTCATAAATTTTTTAATTTAAATCTTTTTTAATTTATATTTCTTGAAGCTTCTAATTTTTAAGATCACTTTCTAATTAAGAAATTTTCTATAATTAATAACTTGAAGGAGAATTTAATAATTCAATCATTTATTAATTACTACTTTATTATATTTTTTCATTAAAACTGGTTATTTCTTATAAATATTATTATTATAAATTTTAATATTAAGCTTATAACTCCTCACATTTATTATTTAATTTCATCCCATAATTTTAAGCATCATTTAATTCATTTACTAAATTATATATTTCATTTTCTTTTTATTCTAATATTTGATTTAAATTTAAATTTTCTTCTTTAAGTAGTTCTATACTATTGTTATTTTATGTATTTTCTTAGTTTTTATGATAATAATGCTTTTCTTATTTTTATTCAGTAATTTGCTTTATGTATTCTTCTTATTTTTTATTTGATTCTTACAATTGTTTAATTCTTTCGTTTAAAAAAGAAAGCTCGTTTTTATAATTTTCTAATTCTATATTATATTAAAATTATTAAGAATTCATATTTTCGGATTTGTTTTTTTAAGTATTTACTAAACATGATAATTCTTTGTTTTTTTATTATAAATCATTTATTTATTTATCTTTTTATTAAAATAAATGAAGAATTTACTTTTATTTCCAAAAATAAATAAATAATTAAATAAAATATATTATATTATTAAAATAAATATACTTGATTTTTATTTTCCATATCTAAACGTTCTTATTGTAAAATTAAATCAACTGCTTTTTAAATATCTGGATTTTTTTCTTTCAAAAACTAGCTCATTTTAGCATTTAATTTTTATAATTCGAAAAACCTCTATTATTCCTCATTTGCACTTTCATGTTTTTCTTATTACATAAAAGCATCAGTTTCAAGTCTTTCTATGAGTTTATCTTTTTCTTCTATAATATTTTTATAAGCTTACAATTATTTATCTTTATATTATTATTCACTATTATAAAATTTAAGAGGAGGTTCAAAAGAGCTATTATAGTCTTCATTTGATTCATTATTATTATATAAAGGAAGGAGAATTATTGGAATTTAGTACTGACAAATATTTTATATGTCTTTGAGGAAAATAGTATCTTTTAAAGAAGTTTGGTTTAAGTTTAAGAGTCTTAATTTTATTATAATTAATTATTCCTAATAAGGTTTTAATTTAAATTGGTTTGGAGTCAATTCATATTTGGAGGAGTCGTAGGAGTCAAAATATAAATTAAATTCGGTATTTTGGTTTCGGTTTTTAATTATAAATTGCTACTCTTGGATTTAGTCACTGGTTAAATCAGTATATATTATTTCTCGTGGAATTATTAGGAGTTCTTTTGTGGTCATTTTTTTATTTTATTTATAAATTTTTATTTTTAAAATATTATATTTAAATTTTTTTTATTTTTTTAAATATTTTTTTTATTTGTTTTTTGAAAATAAATTATTTTTTTTTTTTTAATAAATAAATAAAATATTTGGTTTTTCATAAATCTAATAAATCTACATTTTATATTTATTAATTTTATATTTATTAATTATTACTAAAATCCAATAAATCAACTTAATTATTATTTTGCTGTTAATCTTAACTATTTTGCTATTAATTTTAATTATTTTAAAATTCAACATTTTATTATAAATTATAAAAATATTTAATATTTTCGTCTTATTATTATTAAACATTAAAATTTTCGAACATATTGAAATCCTTTTTAGGATTATTATCATTTTAGGTTTCCATATTCCCTATATTATTAATTTCATCAATTTAATTAATTTCTTAAATTTAAATTATTTAGTTTAGTATTTTTTCCCTTTTTTCCTCATCAATAATCTTCACTTTAACCTAAATCAAAGCTACAACCGGTTTATGGTCAGAATGATTAACATTAACAGACTCATATAACTTAAAATCTTCCGAAATATAACTATTATTATTTTATTCATTTTCCATATCACAATAAAGAATTCTATCGCACCAACAGGGAACTGATTATTTTTTAGAAATATCATATACATCTGTATTCACATTAAGTTTATAAGTTGGTAAAAATAAAATTTAGCCTTCTTTATATTTCTAAAGAATTTAAAATTGATTTGAATTTTTAAAAAAGTTTAACTAATCATATTATAGTAGTTTGTCGTATAAAAGCTTCTATTGTTTTTTATTTTAACATTAATTAATAGTAGATATTTCTTATAAAACGTCTTCGTATTTAATTTCGTTATTTAATCTAAAATTGAGATCTCCAACTAAAAAAATCTTATCGCTTTTCCAAACTGGTTATTTTTTATATGTAGACATTCTTTCCTATTAAAAAGCCTAATCATGTATATTTACTAAATTCTAAATAGTCTTTTCCCCACCATGTTATAAATGGCAATTTAAAATACATAAAGAAGTATCAAAAAGCCTAAATCGGACAATTACACTGCCTTTAGTTTTCGTAAAACTGCATTTGACATAATCAAATTCGATATCTGAGAGATTATTTTTGATATTTTTTTAAGCAAAAATTAATGTCTATATGCCTACCATACTATATTATCCAACTAAAAAATAATCTTAAGGACCTAGATTATATAGAAGGGATTCTATCCAATTTGTTATAGTATTTGATTTTTCGATTGTAGAAACCATTATATTTTTCGCGTTTGCCTCTACTAATTCTTACATACAGAAAATTACTAGTTCACTTTTTTGGTTGTTTTTGCAAAAAATCTTCTAGAAATCGAATTTAGTGTGATATGGTTCAAAACAATTCACATTCCAGGTACATATAAATACGTTTAAATTCTTTTCTTCCAAAAACTCATTTTATCGGTTTTTTATTTACTCTAAAATCTCATATTCGTATTATAAATTGGCCTAACTCTCATAATTCTCACCTAAAATAATACAGTAAATTTCCTGCTTCTTAGAATCCTTCAAATTTGCATTTACAAACCTTTTTGCAGATGAGCATTTGCCTTTTATATAACCCACTAAACCTTATTTTCCTGTTTTAGCGACTTTACTAGTAGTAGCTTTTGTTCCCGCATAATGTTTGCTAATCAAATCTCCGTTTTCACCCCATCCATATTATAATTATTTGAACAATACATCATTAGTTGTAATTTAAAAGCCTTATAAATAGGGAAATATTAACTAAAAAAGAGTCTATAAACCTAATTTTTATTAAAAAAAATTCGTTCTATCTAAACAGTCTAAACAATTTGAACGAACAATACCTTTTTACTTTTGGAGAATTTAATTTCCTTTTTTAGAAAAAAAGGAGAAATTTTTTAAATTACTGATTATTTTTTTATTCAAAAAAAGATCAATTTTATCAAATTTATCTCCTTTGCATTCAAGTTTTAAATCAAATTCTAAATATTCTATATTTTCAATATTATTTACATGATAAACATATTCTTTAGAAAGTAACTAAAATAATTAATATTAATATATATATATATATATATATATATATATATATATATATATATATATAAATATATATTTAATTATATATTTATATATATATTTTTACTTATTCATTAGGTATTGAATAAGTCATTAAGTTTACACAAGTAACATCCCCATAATGTTTTTTTATATAATCGAAATGCATATTAAAGCTATTATGTGACATTTATTAACTTTGGTTTAAATATAATTTTGCTTAAAGACCTTATTATGACCAAAATACAGGCACACTTCCTCTAATTTACACATGAGATATCAAAATATCGGCTCCATATGATAAAATTTACTCTGATTCTACAAAATTAGCAACATATCCATCAGAATTAACCCCTCTATGGTTATATCTAGTGCCTCCTCTTCTCATTTATCTTCTTGAAATCAATAAATAATACAAAGGATATCCTTTAACTGAAGAAACGTAACCTTAAATTAATTATATATGCCATTCTATGGCAATTTTTTACTGTATAAGGGGTTTAAGAAGGTTTAAATTCCATAAATAATCATTATCAGTGTTCATTTTATCAATGTAAAATTTCTACTAAGAAACTGTTAAAGGAAATTTATAACAAAAATAATATCCGCCTTTCGAGAGTGTGTTTTCTATACTCTATTATTATTTTAATATATTTATGGATACTTATAAAGGGAAAAAAGCCCTAAATTCACACTAATTTATTTCTAATATACTAAAATTTTCGTTTAAAAAAGGAATTAAATTAACATTTTTAACTAACACTAAAAAATTTTATCCATATATATTTATTATTCCTAAGAAAGCACTATATTATTAATTAAAAGGGATATTAGATGGTATTTGTTGAGGGTTTAATTATTAAATTTTGCCTGATTATTTATGTATTTAAAGACTTTGGGTTATATTCGTGAGAGAGTATTCAGCTTTAAGGTAAAAATAGTCAGGAGTTTCGGCTAATTCGATTGCTTTAATGCTAGTTATAGGTTATTCTAGTTTTTCTTGAGTAAATTTTTAAGATTATAGACCAGAATTTTTGGAAAATATGTTGATTATTTTTTACATTTTTTTTTATAAATTATTATTAAATATTGTTTTAATTTGGACAATAAATAGTAAATTCCTTTCTTATTTATAGAAAAAAAAAATATATATAATAAAATTTTATAAAATAAAATTAATTATTAAATATTTATAGGATATAAATATAAAATTTTTAATATTATATATTTATTTATTTAAAAAAAAAATAAAAAAAAAATTAAAAAAAAAAATATAAATCGCATTTTTTTTTTATTGGATATTAAAAAAAATTGCAGAAAAAAAAAAACATAAAATAAAATAATAATGTTAAATTATATAAAAATTTATTTTATAATTTGATTTAAACTAAAAAAAAATGAATAATACATATTTTAAAACTTTATTTTGATGGAGATTAATATAATAAAATAAAAAAATATTTATAAAAGTAATATTATATAAAAAATAAAAGATTTATAAATAATATGTAAAAAAAATATATAAATATATAAATATATATATTTTTTTATATATTTACTATACTTATTTTTATATAATATAATTTTTTTTATTTATCATAATAATTATTTTTAATTTTTTTAATAAGATTTATATTTCTTTATCTTTATATTTCTATAATCCTATATATTATTACAAATATTATATATTTAATTAAAAAATTTATATTCTATTTTATTCAATAATTTATCTATCTATTATTTTTATATATTTTAATTTTATTTTATATCAAATTTTTTACATTTAACTTTTCTTTTTATATCCACTTTTTAAATAAAATTTATAAATTTTATTATTTAAACATATTTTCAAATTTATTTTTTGATTATACCTTTTTTATATTTCTTTTAAATAAAATTATCTTTTAGACTTATTATAATAAATATTAGTATAAATATTTAAATTAATCTACTAAAAGGTTTTTTTTGTACTATTAATTAAATTTCTCTTAAGTTAAGTATTTTAATCTAATTATCTTTAAGGTTATTATTATTATCCTGTTTAAGATTATAATAAAGGATGTTTTAAAGACTCTTCTTTTCGATATAATTTTTAGTTATTACTTATTTTTAATTTTCTTAATATAAAATCCTTCATATTTATCCTATTTATTTATTATACAGAAATCTATAAGATTTTTCTCTATATTCTTTTAATAATTATTTAAATTTTTTTATGTTCTATATATATTTAATATGAGAATATAATTTAATATATTATTATATTTTTTTTAATATAGAAAATTTATTTATCATAAAATACTAAATTTCTTACTTTTTCCACAAAAAACATTCATTTATTAGCCTTCTATATTTAATATATGATTTACTAGCAAAATCGTAATCTAAAAATTTAAAAATATTTTCTTTTACGAGTGAGTTTTCAGTGTGTATAATCTTGCTTTACTAATTCTTTGAAATGAAATATTAATTAATTGATTTTTAAACATTTTTTTTTTATTAATTGTAAGCTTTCATTATACTCGATTAAATATTAAATTAAATCTTATAAATAATGGAGTTCTAAAATTATTATATATATATATATATATATATATATATATATATATATATATATATATATATATATATATATAATTCTATATTATTATTATTTTAAATAATTAATATTCAGATTACACATAATTTTTTCTCACCCACCATATAATTAAATTATATTTATTTTGTTTTGTAGACATTAAGTTATATAAGGATCATTAAATTAAGACATACTCATTTACTTTACGTCTACATTTGCACCTATTTTGATATTTTTGCCTTTGTAAACTTTACCAAAGAAATATTATTCTAATTTTAAAAAAGAGTAGAGTAAATAAAATAACCTAGATGTTTTTGTTTAATATTTACATGGTGATATTTTTTATTTATTCTTAACAATTTCTTTTTGTTTAATAAAGAAAAATTGAGTTATTAATTTTAATAAAGATATTTTTAATATTTTATAATATTTATTTTTAATTTAATTTTAATTAAATATTACATTTTGTTAAAAAAAAGTATTAAATTAAATATTTTTTATTAATTTATTTTTTTTAGTGTTAAATTCAAGAAAATATATTATTTAAAAATAATTTTTTTATATGTTCTTAAAAATCTTAATATATTTTTAAATTATTTTAATTAAATATATTATATTATATATATATTATTATTATATTTATATTACCTTTAATATTTATAATATAATAAAATAAAGATTAAGTAAAATTGATAAAATTTTAATTATTTTAATCAATTTTTTAAAAATATTTTTTTAGTAAAAAAATATTTATTTAGCAAAATATATGAATAACAATTTAAAAAAAAATCATAATGATAACTCTTCTTTTTTTTCTGATCTTAAAATAGAATAGGTAAGTTAAATAATATATTCATCAATACCCTCTTAAATTGGAGCAATAAAAGGATCATAAAAACCTCAAAATGAAATAACTTAAAACAGTTTAAAATCTTAAATTTTACCGATTTAATTTGATTAATCTTCTTTAACAATAATTGAAGAGTCTTTAGATAAAGAAGAATAAGAGAATATAAAAGGAAATATATATTTGTTTTAGATTCTATTTTAATGTTAATAACATTCATAATATATATAAATGATATAACAATATGAATACAGAATAAATATCCAAGATTTTCTAATATTGTGTCCTTGTACAAATAATTAATGTTAAGATATTTTAAATAACCATTTAAAAATTAAAAACATCAGTTTTTTTACTAAAAGGTATTATAATGCTTTAAAAGTTGCTTTCAGAAATCAATTTTTGAAAGATTTTAAAGAAAGCTTCTCTTTATAAATTACTGTACAGAACTTAAAATAATAATTTTTATTTGATTTATAAAAAAGCTTTAAAAATAATCAATTTATATCATTATATGGATATATAATTAATATTTTACCTTAAAAAATTATATATGATAAAAGTAATGAAAAATATTATGTACTTAACTCGTTTATAGTTTTAAATGATCAAAATTAAAAAATAAACTGTCATTTTTTTGAAAAATAATTATAAAAATATATACATTAAGATAAATAATACATTATTAATGGTTTTATGAAAATATTCAATAGTTTAAAAACTAGACTAAATGAATGTAGTATATAGGTAAATTATATCGAAGAAATTTAATAAAAAATAACAAGTAAACATATACAAGAATAAATTTAATAATTCGCAAATTTTGATATGTTAGTAAAAAATTTCTTGAAAGATCAAATTTCTTACAATTATTTGTTTAAATCTATACTTTTCTTATTGTTAATCCCATGTAATACATTAAGGAATAGCAATTTAAATGTGCTATTTATTTACGATTAGTGTATTAATTTGGAAGAACTTATTGAATAAATGAAATTTTTTAACAAGAATATTGTTTTATTTACAAATGATTGGGATTAAGAGAAAAAAGTTGTTGAGAATATTTATATTTTTTAAGATGTTTAAAAAGTGGATAAAAAAAACTGAAATATTGCCTAAATAATAATTAAAATTATTCTATCAATATATTTTTTTAGAAAACTAAATTCGTTTATTATAAATAAAGAGAGTCTTTGTAAGCTAATTTAGGAAATATTAATTAAGAAATATTAAATTAAATGCATTTTGTTTGCAGAATTAAAGATATGAAAGATGAAAATTTGGTTTAGAATAAACTATACTAAAATTTTAATAAAGTATATAATTTTTAAATAAAAAATTAAATATATATTATATATTTGTATGAATAAAGAAAAAAATATAAAATTCAAAAAGAAGAAGTGCTTAGAATAGTTTTTTTAATGATTCTTTTGATTCAAGAATCAAAAGTTAATTTAATTTTTAAGAAATAAATAATAAATATTATTTAAATTTATATTAATATTTACAAAATTAAGAAGAATCTAAGTAAATGATTTATTAAATTTCTATTTTATATAGAAATTAAATAAATATATAAATAATAGATTAACCGAAAATAGTGCATTTATAATTGAAGATTTTTACTTAAATATAATTTAGAGTAATTTTTATTCCGAAAATTTGCATTTTTTAACATAAAACCATAATATAGTTTATTTATTGATTCAAATGTGTAAGCAAAGGGCCAAAATAGAGTTTTCACCATTAATTTAAGCTAAACATATAAAGGTTTATATATATAAATATATATATATATATATATACACATATTTATAAATAAATATATTTTTTAAATTAATATTAACAAAAAAAACTAAGGATATATTAAATATAATTGAAGAAATATTAGATGATATAGAAGTAGATTAACATTTAATAGATATTAATGATTAAGAAAGTATTTCTAAAGCCGGATAATAGAAATAAATATTTTTTTTTTTAAAGTTTTTAAAAGACAAATAAGAATTGTTTACAAGAAAGGAATTAAGAATGTATTATGATGAGTGCGGAATCTAAATAAAATAACCTTTTGATGATTTTATTGATAGTTTAAACGATAATGATTATTTTACAAAAATAAATGCAACTTAATTTCGAATTAATATCGAAAAAATTTGATATTTAAAACACATTAATATTATACTATTTATGTTTTTAACTTATAAATAAAAAAATATATTTTATATATTTATATTAATTTATTTATGTATTGTATTAATTTTACTTATAATTATTTGATCTATAATCTTTTTTTAATAATTTACTTATATAATATTTATTATTAAAATTTTTGCTTAATTTTTTATATTTAAATCTTAATAAAATTATATATAATTACATTTTAAAAATATATATATATATATATTAAATATTTACAATTTAGTATGTCTTTAGTTGTTTAACTAAAAAGTTTAATTATATAAGAAATTAAAAGAAATAATTTTTATTTTTATCTAAAGATATAATAATATATATATATAAATATATGAGAAATAAAATCTCTTACTATGCATGAAATATTTTAACATTTATAAACTCTGTTGTAACTTTTTAATAATGATATATAAAATTGAATTTAAATAGAATTAATTCTTAAATATTATTATTTTTTTTTAAATATAAATGAAAAATTCAGAATATTTGGAATCAGTATCAATATGTATTTTAAATACTATGAAAAATAATACTAAATGTAATTTAGAAATATAATATTAGATAGGATTTGAATTTAGGTTTTTGAGCAAAATCTTTAATTCTAAAATTAAGTTTGTGGAAACGGTAAAAACCTATTTTAAAGTCGAATTAAACACTATGTCAACATAAATACTCCTATATATTTTATTTTATATGCATTTATTTTAAAGTTAAAATATTAAGAATATAATGTAATTGCAAACTTTATCACAAATAAGGGGGAAAGGTAATCATTAAAAAATTCAATAAATTCATTGTCAAGTTAAAATAAGTATACTTAGCTGAATTTATATGATAACAGTAGACATGGATCTAAATTTACTATTAAGGAATTCTGAAGAATTGATTGTTAATAGAAATATAGATACTCCCACTCTGTGGCATAATATTTTCGTTAAAGATTTAAATGTGAGACATTTTTTGATATAAAAAAATTATGTTTCTGATAATAAATTGTTTTAAGTAAATTTTTGATGAATAGGAAAACCAAAAATTATGATATTTACTTAAGGAAAAATTTAAGATAAAATAATTAAATTTATATATAACTAATTTAATTAAATTTTTAATAATTTTACGAAGTTAAATATTTAAAAAATAAAATTAATTTTGAATGAACTAATATTTATTAAAATTAATTTAAAAATTCTTTATTAATGTATATATTTTTTTTAAATAAAAAATATAAATAATTGAATTTAAAATAAAATTTTTATAATAAATATTTTCTAATAGATTTAATTTGTAAAATAAAATAGTAAATATATTTAAATAATAATAATAACTTTATAAATATATAAATTTTTATAAATTTTAAATATGATTTTTTTCTTTTTTTTTTAAGATAATTATTTTAACTTTTCTTAATTTTTAATTTTCAATTTTCTTTTTTAGATAAATTTTTAGTTTTTTAACTTTTAAATGATTTCATTATTTTACTATAGTTTTAAATTTATTTTTCTTTAATAAATTTATGAACCTTTTTAATCTATTTAATAACCACATTTAAATTATTATGTGGTAAATAATAAGTATATTCTCTAAATTTATCAAAATCAGCTAAAAAAATTTAAGTTTTATTACGATTGAACTCATCATAATCTGTATCAGCTTTCGCAAATAATGTCGTTGTGATGGCATTCCCACCATGAGCATTATTTTTTTCTTAATTTAAGCTTTAAATAGATTAGAAACTAGTTTTTTTAAGAGACTTAATTAACAAAAAAAAAAATTAAAAATTAAGATAATTGAAAAAAAAAAATACAATAATAGATTTATTTTTAGAAACTTATCTAACATTTTTTATACTTGTTTGACTTATTAAAGCGCCTTATTTAGACGTAATAACATTAAATTCTCCGCTTCCTTTCGATTATAACTTATTAAAACCTCTGTTACTTATTTGTGAAGGCTACTTTTAAGTAGCACGTTCTCCCCCGTACATTATACTTTAATTACTTGAATAATTATTATTTTGAAAATAATTTGATTTTTATATTTAATCTTCCTATTAATTATTTAACCCATTTTAATATATTGAAAGACTAGTAGTTTTATGCTTTGAATTAACTCTTGTTGAATATTTAAAATTTGGAGAGTTTTACTCATCTTCGTTATTATTACTTAGATTAAACATAACTTTATTTTTTTGTTCTTTTTTCGACTAAGTGTCTTAGTTTATTTTATTTTCTTCTTCTACTTCTTCTTCAATTAGTTTTTATGGATGATAATTATTTATTTATGTTTTATTTATTAAATTTCTTTCGATTTCTTTTTTAAAAAAATAATAACTAATTTATAGGTTATTGTTATTTTACCTGTAGATTATATTATTTATTAAGATTTGTTTTATTTTAATGATTATTTTTAAGATTAAATGCTTGTATTTACAGTTTGCTCTTCTTAATTTACTGTCAAATCATCAAAATCTACAAAACAATCTACTTCATGTTAATCTTCCTCTTATTCTTCTTCTTCGACATCAATTAAATTTTATATAGATCTGTATTTTAAATCTATTGACATATAAGGCTTTGGTATATTCATTAAAAATAATCTATCTGTTTAATATTCATCAAATTAGTCTTCGTCTCATTCAGCTAACTTTAATCTCAACTTTCTTAGTTTACATTGATTTTATTCTTTAATTTTATTATATTTTTGAAATAATTTAAATTTTCTTTTTATTTTACTGTAATTTTTTAATGTTTTGTATTTTTTTTAAATAAATTAATTTTTATTTTGTTTTCTTTCCTGCGGTATAGAATGCATATATCTAATTTAATATATAAATATTTTTATTATTTTCTGATTTTTTGTTTATATATAAAACAACCGTTTTAAATGGACATCTTTATCTATATCATAATGTAATAAAGGACAGTTAATTATTTAATGATTAAACTTTCCACAACTATTGCAGTTAATATCTAACATTTCATCTTTTGAGTTTATTTTTTCTTTAAATGAACAAAATATCTCCTTTTTTGAAAAATAATATAATATATTAAAAATAATAATTTATATATATACATAATCATTAGGAAATTATTTTATTATATTTAAAAAATCTTCGAAATTCCAAAATACTAATTACGTTACATTCACACTTCTTGCTGAATACTTGCATTCTTCGTGTACAAAAAACCTATCTTAGCCAAAATAATCACCTGACTTTAAAAATAAAAAATATAAATATATATATAATAAAAAAAAAAAAACTTTTAAAGTATTCAAAATTATATCTTATCGCGCATTTTCTTATAAATCAATATATAATTCAATATCTCCATTTTAAATAAAAAACATTCTTTAATCTAATTCTCCTTAATTAAATAAAACTTCACCTGGCCCAAGTGTAAATTCTCTAATATGAATACTAAATTATTTCAAGAAATCTTTACTAAATTTTCTACTAAAAATTTTAAAATTTTATAATATATCGCCATAGTATTCTTTATAAATATTATCTCTTAATCTTTTAGAAACTAAATTGAGAATATTATATCCTTTCATATGTCCTACATCTGAAGATATATGTATATATTCTAAATATTTAATAACTCTCATTTATGTATCCTTTGTTATATTTCTTCTTAACATATAATCTGTTATTTCATATTTCTATTGCCTATTTTTTTGTTTTTTAAATATAATAATTATTAAAAGATAAACTTAAATTCAGCATTTTTTCTAGCAATATCTGAAAAAATACTCCCTATACAATTTACTACATAGGCGAAAATTCCACAAGATATAACTTACACAATAATAACATAAATTTTTTCATTTACATTTTTCGGAACAATATCTCCAAATCCAACAGTAATCATTGTTGTAAAAGAAAAATATAAAGAGTTGATATATCTTTCCTTCCAATCAGTATTTTCCGCATTTATATTTTTAATCCAAGTGTTTTGTTCCTCTGTAGAATATTTCAATATAAAATGGAATCCACAAGCACACATATGAGAAACCAATAAAACTACCAAAAGTAATTTCTAAAGTTAGAAAGTAATAGGCATTTTATACTAAATCTAATAATTCTCATCCAATTTATTAATAAGGTGTTTTACTTAAACTAATCTTAATAAAAACAAAAGTTTATATTAAGATTAAAAGATAAAAGAAACAATAGTTATTATATCTATCCAAAATTTAAACATTAAATATTTTACTATTATTTATTGTCTATTATTTATAGTAATCCCTTTATCATAATAAGCTGTATTTATATTTATGAGCATATCCAATGTTAATAAATAAGGGGCTAATTTCATAAAATTTTACATTGTGGAAGTCTCTATGTAAATGTTTTAGAAGCTAAAGCAAACTTACAAAGGAATATAAAAAACTAAAAAAAGTAAAAAACAAAATAAAATAGTTTCCCAAGTTATAATAAATAAATTATTCGGTTAAAATGTTTTAAAAGGAGAATTTTCATCTAAAAATATGTATTTGACTAATTCTACGTAATAGAAAATTTTATTTTATTTCGATTCTCTTTCGTAAAAACCTCCAAATGATTTATCTCTGATAAATTTGAAGTGTTTTTATTCTAGGGAATATATGTTTTTATATTTAGCTATGAAAATCATTTTTTGTAAAAATTTATGAGTAAAGAAAAACGCTTTTAGAAAATTTCTTTTTTTTTGTAAAATGATATTTGAATCGTCAATAATTGATATTTTTTAAGCTTTTAAATTTTGCTAATTTTAAGGAATTTAAAGTAAAAAATTTTTATTTACATTTAAATAGCATTTAGCTTCCATCATTTATTAATTACTTTCTCGTAAAATATCAGATTTTTATTATTAATTTAAATTAAATTTTAAAGATAAATCGCTCTAATTTCTAAAATTTAATTTACTTTGACCTGAGTTTATTGCTGTATTACTACCTAACATATCTTCTTTGGAAGTTGCTTTTTATTTGATTGAATTTATTTTATTTTAGATTGAATTTCTTTTTATTTGTACTGAGTTTTAATACAAATCTTTGCTTAGTTCAACTTCTACTGAATTCCTTACTTAGGGTTTATTTAATGTATTTATAATTCTATTTGTAATATTTATTGCTGAGTCTTGTGTATTCGAAGAAGAGCTTTCAACATCGTTTTGTTATTAATCTAATACATTCTTTTTTATTAGTTAATTATTTATTTTAAATGCATTTTGTCGTTATTGTGATAAAATATTCAAAAGTTCACTTTCTTATTAGTTTACAATATTTATATTAGATTAAATATTAGTGTTAATGTTATCTTTATATAAATATCAATAATAATATTTTTTATAAATATATTTACATTGAAGCGATTTTCTCATTTTATTTATTTTAATTTAATTATTTTATAAAGTATTTATTATATAATATATAATTTAAAAATTTTATCATAGAAAATATTTATAATTAATAGCTTTTTTTTTTAAACAAAAAAAAATAATAATATTTTTTTTATATTATTTCAGGCATTTTAATTATTAAATTAAATTAAATTTTGGTAATTATTTAAAAAAGTAATAAATTAAAGATTTTTTGCTAAATTTTAATTAAATTTATTTTTTTAAAATTGTTTAAATATATATATTTCCTTGAATAAATAAAAGAAACATTATTATAATATTTTTACACAAAAACTAAAAATATAAATAAATTAACTTTATTATCAATTTACAAAAAATAAAATAAATAAATTATGAAAATTACAATAGAAGTTAGGTATTCATAATAAAATTTAGTAATCATATAATTTTATTTTATTTATTTTTTAAAAAAGCGGAGGTCTTGATTTATGTTTTAACGGGCAAAAAGTTTTTGAAGTTAATTTATAAAATTAAGATTCAATAAAAATGGCCGATTTAATTTAAGAAATAGCTACTAATTATCTTTAAAAAAGACAGGAGTTTTTCATTGGAAACGATAAGTAACTGTATAAAATATAAAAAACTTAAATATAATTATATATTTTATATTTGTTTAATTCAAAATAATATATTTATATTTTATAGGAGATCAGGAATTCTTGTATTAATAATGATGCTGATTGGGAATTAGAAGAAAAGGAAGAAGCATAAATTGTAAATAAAGACAAAGTTAGTTTTATATCAACATTACGTGGAGGATGAATTTATATTTTTATTTTTAAAAATTAATTTTTGTTATATTTTATGTAATTAAAATTTGATAATTAAAAATCTCATTTTTCTTATTTATTTAAAACATTTTATTATTATTATTTAATTTAATTTTTTATATTTATAAATATATATATATTTTTTTTTCTTATATATATAATTTTTTATAAAAAAAAAAAAGTGAAAAATGAGCTTAGATATAAAAACAAATCATAAATAGGCTTTTTAACAAATTTTTAATTTAGTTGCTTCTAAAGATACTAAATTATTAGATAAAAAAGGCTTAAGAGATTTATTTTAAACAATAGATTATTAAGTTTCAGATGATTAATTTAATGAAATGGTTGCAAAAATTTTTAATAAAAAAGAATTGATTGGTTTTGAGGATTTTCTAAAAATTTTTAATTTAAAATTAACTGAGTACACCTTTAATGATGTCTAAAATGCTTTCAAGTTACTTGCAAAGGATGATGATAAATATATTGGAGTCGAAAAAATAAAAATAATACTTTCTAAAAATGGTTTATAAGATAAAGAAATAGAATTTTTAATTCATTAATTAGAACCTTTTACAGATGGATAAAAAAGAGTTAATTATAAAGAATTCTTAAATAGTCTGACATCTATATGAAACTATATAGATACTTTATAAATATTATTGTTATTTTTTTTTTTCATTGAATAATATAATTTTTATTCTTATTTTCTTAAAAAGAATTATTTATTTAAAAAAATCGTTAATAATACATTTTTTTATAATTGATATTTTTTTTTTAATATATTTTTATCAATTTATATACAAAATTAATTAAAAATTTATAATATATTTATTTTTATTGAAAAAAGAAGATTGTATTTTATAAACAAAATAATTTATATGTTACAATATAATAAAATTAAAGTTTTGTAATAATATTAAATTTAAATAAAAATTCATTTTTTTTGTCATAAAACTTATTATAAAAATTAATCTAAAAACTATTATTATTATTTTTTTTTAATAAATGGATTTATTTATTCTTGAAATTCCTTCGAAAAATTTTTAAAGTTTTACAAATTATAATTATTTATTTCTTCTAATAAAGTTAATTAATAACACCCTGAATTATCATCGAAATTTTTATTTAAATTATTTAGTTTTAAGCAAATAAATATAATTTTTTCATACCCTTTAAGTGAATATTATGAATGAGAATCTGAAATAACTCTAAAAATAGCATCTTATAAAAGATTTAAACAATCAAACTATATATTTTTAATTTAAAACTCATATATTAAATTTAAACAATAAATTATGTTTTCTTCATTTATTTCTTCTATTTTTACTTCTAAGCATTCTATTAATATTTTATTAACTTTTTCATAATATTTTTATATATCATTAAATTAATTTACTAACATTATATAATTTATTTTGAGTTTTAGACATTACAAAATTAAATTTTATTGATTAAGAATTTCTTATATATTATCAATTTTTTAATTTTTTAATAAAAAATCAATAAATTAGAATTTATTATTATTTGATAATTTATTAAAATTAAAAGAAACAAATTAAAAATAAGAAACTGTACTAAATATATCTATTTCTAATTTTTAAATAAGTATAAGTACATTACTTGTTTAATTTAATAAAAAAACATTTTAATATTCGCTAATTTATAAAAGAAAATAATCTTTAAATAGTATAAAAAATAAACAATTTTATTTTTTTTAATCTTCCAAATTTTTTAAAGAATATATTTAGGTCAAATTTAAAAATGTTTTTTAAGAAAAACTTTAATAATTTAAACAAAAAAAGTTTTCTATAAAATTTATTAATAAATCATATTATTTATTATTTTCCAAATATATAGAACTACACATTTTAATTATTTTTTCAACCAAAAAAACGTATTTATTTTCTTTAGAAAAATTAATTAAGATGTCTTCTTAATATATTTCCTGTAATAATGAAATAATTTCATTTATATAGATATCAATTAAAGGCGTATTTTTGTATTTTTCGCTCTTAAAAAAATTTATTATTAAATTTATCTTTTAAAAGCAATCGAAGTTTATGTTTTTTACAAATTTCGGATTTTTCTATATTTGGGTTTGTAAATAAAAACAAGTAAATGATTATTTTAAAATAGTTAAAATAGGCTAATTAAAGTTATTTATTCCTAATCTCCTCTACAAGACTTCTTTTTTGTAAAATTTAGTCTTTTTACATTCGTTAAAATATGTTTCTTATAAAAATTTAGATTCAAAAAATTAAGAAATTGATAAGAAATATTGCATTGCATGAAATATTTAATCAGAATTCATTTATTTATAATTATTTATTAGATATTAGTCAAAAAATGCATTATTTATTTAAAACTAAATTTTATTATTTGGAATAAGTTCTTATATTTGGATACATTTGTTTAATATTGAAGATATATATTCAATATCTATTAGTTCATTAATACTTTGAAAATCGTTAATTTTTTCTTATATTTTTTATAATTCCATATCATTATAATATTCATAACTATAATCTTTGATTTATTATATAATTATTTAAAGGATAGCATCAAATTAATAATTTTAAATAGAATGAATTTATTTATTCAAAATCTAAATTATAAGATTTTTTATTTATTAGTTTTATTAATTAGAGAATATTTTTTTTTCAGTTTTTATTTAAGATAATAATTTTGATATTATATCTATATTTTAGATGCTTATTTATATTTCTTAATTATTGCTAATGATTCCGAAATCTATTAATATATTTTAGCTTATTTTATCTTTTTAAAGTGCTAGTGTTTATTCAATTGAGTTTGTTATGTTATTATATTTGATATTTTCTAAAATAATATCATTTTAAAAAGTATGGAAATAAACATAAAAATAGTATTACTTTTCTTATATAGTTTAGCATATGTTTATATTTTTTTAATTTAATGCTTTATAAACTCTACTTTTATTGACAAAAATGTTTTAATTAAATAATTTTATTAATTATTGATTCATTTTTTTTTATATTTTTAGAAAAAGATATTTATATTTTTTTTAATATTTAAAATATTTTATTATTAGAGATAATTTCCATATATTTTTTCTATTAAATTACTCCATAAAAATATAATAAAAAGTTGAAACATTTAAAAAAAAAAATATTAATAAAATAAAAACCAAAAAAAATAACAAATACTTATAAAATTAAAAAAAATTTTAAAAAATATGCTATAAAAAATAAAATACGAGACACTTTACTATGGCCGTTATGATAAACTTCGCAAAAAATTTTTAAGTTCGGATTTTGAGCCCGAAGAATGTAAAGTATTAGAATTAAGCTATTAACATGCAACTGAATTACCAATTCAGAAATGTTTAGAAGTAGTAAAAAATCTTTAAATATTGAAATTATCGCACAATTCAATATAACGTTTTGACTCCAGTATATTAATAAAAGGTTGTCCTTAATTAGAAATACTGGATTTATCGAATAATAAAATCGACATATTAGATGATATAGTAGAGTTAGGTTCATTATAAAATTTAGGAGCTTTAGATTTTCAATATAATCCTATATCTAATCGTTTATCCAGTATAAATTTAATAAAGGAACTTTTATATCCCGAAAAATATAAAAAATATGACCCTGTTAAAATTCTAACTGTGGGTTATCAAGCAATGCCTCCAACTCGACTTTCTCGTTAAGATGAAGAATAAATGTAAAAAGATTTAGAAATAAACGAAGTAAAAAAATAAAAAAATTAAAATAAAATAAAAAAATAAAAAATATTTTAAATAATTTTTTTTTTAAACTAAATATTTAACAAAGCTTTTTGATGAAGAGCTAGACCCAAGAGAGACTAGATAATTAGTGAGTAAATATGGCCACAAAAATACATTGGCTAAATATGCAGTATAGCCTTGTCCAGTTCCAAGGAAATCGCGATTCAAAAATTTGGTGATTTTAAATGGATAGGATATCACAAAGTTGGATGTGATGAGGGCTTCAGGCAAAGATAAAATTTCTGAAATTATAGAAGATGTGAATGAAGAAAAAATAAAACCGATGAAAATTTAAAGATAAAACGATATAACTCATAGAAAATATATTCAGAAATATGTTAAGAAGATCTAGAGGCTTACAGAAGAGCATATGTCAACAAATATTAGGAATATAAAACAAAGTGGAGATGGGATAGGGGGAGACGAAGATTTGAAGTATTTATCAAAATTGGATGAGGCTTTATAGAAAGGGTCAAAGTTTGTAATTGATCCAAAAAAATATGCTGCTGATATTTGGCAAACTCCTTTAGATATTTAATATAAAAATTCTACTTTTTCAATTTCGATTAAAGAATATAAGAAAATGTTATAGGAATATGAAGTTTAGAAAAAATTAAAGCTCGAAAATAAAAAATAATAGTATTAGGAAAGAAAAAATTCAAGGAAGGCTAGAGTTTTTGCGAAATTGTAAAGGGCAGGAATATGTAAAAAAAAAAAAATTCTACTTTATTTATTTTTATATTAAATAAAAAAAAGAACCTGTAACAAAAGAAGAATTAGAAAAATATGAAGAAGAAGGGTGCAAATTTGAAAATATAGAAGACTTATTTAAAATAAAAAGTAAAAAAGACAGAATGAAATATGATTTGGATAGATTAGAAGAAAAAAAATACAGAAGTAGTGAAAGTGAACTTTCTGAAGAATTCGAAAAATAAATTCAAAATGAAAGCTTTTCATAATAAAATAATTATTCAAATAAAAATTAGGATGAAGATTTGTAAGAAATTACAAATTAAGAGGAAAAAAATAAACAAAAGAATAAAAAGTCACATTAACCTTAAAGTAATTAAGATGTTGATGTTTTAGAATTAAAAAGAAAATTAGAAGATAATAATAAATTGAAAAAATAGGCACTTTCATAGAAATAACCTTATTCTTAAAATGCAGAAATATCAAAGAAATAATAAAGAAATAAGGAAATTTTAAAATTCTAAAAAAAAAATATAGAAAAATAAGAAGAAGAGGGAGAAAAGAAAAAACAAGAAAACGAAAATAATGAAAAATAAAAATATAATGAATAAGACATTTAATAAACAAATAAATAAGATAAAAATAAATCAAAAAACAATATTTAATAATAATAATAATAATAATAATAATAATAATAAAATAAATAATTGGATTTGACTTCAATCAATTAATAATAATAATTTTAATTAAGACTAGAAAATGATGACAATATTGAAAATATAGGTATATAAATATATTATAAATTACTAAAATTTTTTTTTAGGAATTGAAACGGTATAAGTAAGTAGATATGATTTTCGAGTTAGTTAAAAATCAAATGAAATTGAAAAAAAAATAAACGTTAACAATATAAGAAATTAAACTTATTCAACATTTAATGTAAATAATAAGGTATTTTCCTAACACAATCTTCAAAAGTAAGTATTAATCAAAAAAATTTCATAAAAATCTTCAGGATAATTTGGTAAAAAAACTTCTGTTTACAAAAGAGACAGATCAAGTAGTTCAAGTTTAAGCGAATCTAAAAGTAAAGTAGAATCAGTAAAAAAAATGCTAAAAAAAAAAACCTTTTTTTAAATAATAATAAAAATAAATAAAGTATAAAGAATCCTTTAATTAAAAATAAAAAAGTTAAAAAAAAGGAACATATTATCCAATGAAAAAATCAAAAAATAAAGAATATAAATCTGAAAAAAAAACAAAAAAAGCAGACAACTTTTTCATAAAATAAACTAATAATTCAAATATAAAATAAGATCTAATAATGCGAAGCGAAATTCCAAGTGATAAATTAGTCCCTACAATAGAATAAGGAATGGACCCTAATTTAAGAAATTAGGCTCTTTTTAATCCTGAGAATGAAATGTATTAATAAATATAAAAGTTTAATTAAAAAGTGGAAGAATTCAATAACCTTAAAGAATCTTTAAATGCACTTGATATAAAATTAGAATAGCATAATATTTAAAAAAGACCTGAAGAAAAGTTCAATAAATATATTAGATATGACGACGTATTTAAGTTCCTAAAAGAAACAGTTAAAGATTTTAAAATATAAAATAGCTATGATTTAGCAAATTATTTATAATTTAAATTTGGGAAAAGAATTCAATAATAGCCTCAAAAAATGTCGGCTTTTGAACTAAATACTATTATTAATAAAGTAAATGATTTTAATAAAAATAATGCTCCTAGGATCGTTGAAAAGGAAATTAATGAATAATTAAGAAACAATCCTAATATGGATTTCAAATTGAGAGAATAATTATATGATTAACTAGATACTTTGGAAGAAATCAAACTTAAAAAAATGAAAGTTTCTTAGGAGCATTTAAGAAGACTTGAAAAAAAAGAAATTGAAAGGGCAGAACATAATGCTAGACTTGCATATCATTATTATAAGTTAAAAAATTTTATTGATGATGGAAATTTAGAAAAATATTTAAAAAGACTTAATTTGGGTTTAGATGGTAAAAATAATTAAGGAAAAATTCAATTTAAGAAAAAAGTTGTTAAAAAAAATAATATCGATTATGATGAAAATAATGTCCCTAATTATTTTAATAAATAGAAGATTAAAAATATAGTAAAATTTATTAATATATAAAATACTTTCAAATAATTTTATTTATTTATATAGGAATAGCATCTTAAAAAAGAACCCAAAGGATTCGTTGGATAACTAGAAAATTTGTTGTAACTTAAAAAATATTAATATCCTGCTAGAGAAATACCTTAGTGTAATCTTTCTGGTTTTATTGTTGAAAAATATCCAGATATTAATGAATGGGCTAACTCTCGTTTATATATACCTTAGCCAAAGCTCACTTTTGAAGATTTAAAGGAATAACATGACAGAAAAATAAAAGATGAATTTTAGAAAAGTAGGAATAATTAAGTGCTTACTATTGAAGAGTAAATGATGAAATATGCTTCTGAATTTAAAGAAAAGGAATAGGAAAGAAACGATCTAAGAAAAAGAATTGAAGGGTATGTAAAAGATGGTAAAAGAGTACTTAATGAATTTATGGATTAAGAATACTATGAAATTGATAAAAGATTTAATGTAAATCATTGCATTGGTGAATATATTAAACTTATGAGAGAAGGAAAATTACCAAAAAGAATTCCTTAAAATGTTAATAAGAAAAATAATTGAGTTTTTTTTTTTTTTAAAAAAAAAATTATATAAATATTGATTTTTTATTTTTTTAATATATTAAATGTTAAATAAAAAATAATGAAAAAATAAATTTTATTCATTTATATTTTTTGTAAAAATAAAAAATGAAAAATAATTAATTATAAAAATAAAAAAATTATGGAGATATTAATAAAATATATTAAATAAACAAACAACTATATTTGAAAAAACAATAAACAAAACCCTAAAAAAAAATATCAATTTCTTAAAGTTTTAATTTAAGTGATTACTCTTTTAACCAAAGCATATCATAAGATTAAGCACAGGTGAACTTTTTGACAAATAAAGGAAAAAAATAATTTAATATAGTTAAAAATATACAGACATACGACTAATATAAAAAAAACTCTAAAAAATATTTTTAAACATATAACTAAACTTATACTACAATAGCAGATTTACAAAGAAAAGAATCTTCAAATTTTCATATAATGTTTTCTCCTGTAAAACATTAAAATTAAAATTTTTAGGATTACAAAATAAATCATATAAAAAAAATAGAAGGAAAAAAGACTTTTTAATATCAATAAAATTCAAACAATATTAGTTAAATTTTAAGAAGAGATTAAAGTAATTAGTTCTATTCATTTTTTTAAAAACCGTAAAGAAAATAATTTGATGAAAAATATTAATTAGAAACGACGTTTAATAATTTATTTAATTAATAAAATGAATACTAAGAAAAATCTAAAATTAAAACATTTAAATAATAAATAGGTAATGTAGTTACTGGTCAAAATATAACCCCTGAAATTAGATAAGGGAAAAAAATGTTATAATAAAACCATTTTTAGGGAAGATAATCTTCAAAGAAAAATGATTATTAAAACATTAATAAAAAAAATAGTTTTATAAATATTAATACTAAAATATAAAATAACGAAAAATTAAATAAATAGAAAATCTTAAAAAAAAATAATGATTCTAAAAATAAAAAATTATGCAATAATTAAAATAATAACAATATATAAAATAATTCAAACAATAATTCGTAAAATATATAAATAAATAAAATATTTAATATATATATATATATTTTTATATAATTATTTAATAAAAATTTATATAAAATTCAAGCCCAACAATTTAAGCCTATGCTTTATCTAAATAAATTTAAGAATAGTAAGATTTGATTTCATAAGTATTAGAAGAAGTATCTTATAATACTATAGAAACATAAAAGATAAATAGTAATAGAAATATTTCTCCCAAAATAACCAATATAATAAATAATAATTCTTCAAAAATTTCTTAAAAATATTAACCAATATCTTAAACAAATAAAATATTTAAAAAAATATAATTTTGAATATATGTTTTAATTTAATTATTTTATGTAAAAATAAAATTGATAATATCAATAAATAAATATATTTTAATTAAGTAAATATAATAAAATAAAAGATATTTAAAATTATTTCCTATTTATTATGTAATTTAAGAAGTACAAATTTATTATTTCTAAATAAAAAGTTAAATAAAAATTAAAATAAAAAACATTGCTTAATCAATATGTATATAATACTTTTTATATAATTAAAAAATTAAATTTTAAAAATAAAATAAAAACATAATAAAATAAAAAATATAAATATATATATATATATATATATATGTATATATATATTTATATATTCAAATATATATATAATTTTTTTACACAAATATAAATATATATTAATATTTATATACATATTTTTATATTTATACTATACTTAATTTTTTTATAGATTTACATGAAATATATTATTATATTATATTTTTCTTTCATTAATTAATTTATCTTTTTAGTATTTTTTCCTTCCAATTTATTAATAGCTTTTTATAAATAAGAAAATTTTTTATACTTTTTTTTTTTTTTTTTTTATTATATCTATATATCCATTATAGTTAGTTTTATTGTTATTTATTTTTTTTTTTTAATATATATTCTATACAAATAAAAATACATTTTTAACTTTTTTTTTTTTTTTTTAATAAAAAATACATAAATTAAAAAAAAATTATTATAAGGTAATTTATGTATATTTTGTAATTAAAGCAAATGATAACCTTAATAATTATGCAAAAATACTGAATTTAGAATGAATAAATATATTTATTATTTTTATTCTTATGACAATATTAATTTTATCAATTTTGATGTTGGATTTAAGTGCGGATATACTTTTTATTATTCTAATAACGATAAATCTAAAGAATTAGCTTGTTAATTGTAACTTAAATGGGAATTTATGTCCATGAATAGCAAGTTCTGAGCTTTTTTACATACTAACTAATAAATCTCATATAAATTTATCTATAATATATTCTATTTTATTATTGAATTTATTTTTTTATATAAATTATAATAATTTATATATATTCCAGAGAGAAAATAAAAATGCAAAAAGTAGATTTTTTATTTTTCCAGTCAAACATTTAAAATTTTATAATTTATAATATTTTTTTTTTTGTAAAAAATATAAATTAAAATTGTAAAATAAAGATAAATTATTTTTAATTTTTTATTGAATATAAAATATTTATTAAAATTATCTTTTAATTCTGAAAACATTTCTAAATAAAAATATAAATAAAATGATGTTATTTTAAAAAGCAATAAGAAATTTCAAACACAACATTTTTTTCCAAAAGTAAATTAAATTTGATTTCGCATATGCAACAACCCCATCAGAATATTAAACACTATAAAAGATTTCTTAAATATTAAAATTGAAAGTAAAAATTTTACAAATAAAATCAAAAATTTTCATAAATTATTCTGATAGTATCATAATTTAAATGAAGAACTAGATCTTGATGGAAATGTAAGAATTATAGACAACAATAATAAATAATTAGGTATTATGCCTTTTTAGGAAGCAAGGTAAATAATTTATATTTTTTAAAAATAACTACTTATTTTATTAAAAACATAAAGTGAAAAAGCATATTAATAAAACTTAGATATAATCCTTATTAATTAAGATGTCAAACCTGTTATTTGCAAACTAATAAATTATAAATAAGATTTATTTGATAAATTTAAAAAAGAAATGATTTAAAAAGATAATGAATTATGTAAACAAATGAAAAAATACATTCTTTTTATTAATATATAAAAAAATAAAAAGTTGATTAAGATAGTAAAAAATCTAAAAAATAAATAGTATTAAGCCATAATATTAGTTTTGCAGATTTAAAAACAAAAGCTTAATTAGTTAAAGAAATAATTAAAAAAAATCCTCAAATAAAAGTTGTTATTTTATCAAATGATTCATAAGAAGATTAATGTAAAAGCTTGCTTTTTACAGTAAAGAATTAATACTTTCTAAAAAAATTTAAAAAAAAAAAAAAGTTTAGAGATTTAATTAAAGATACACTTGTATGTGATTCAGATCTTACAATAAAACCTTTAATAAAAGATGAAGATGAATAAGAAGATATACTTAACACATCAAAACCTACTAAATAAATAGAGTTAAATGCTAGATCTGTTTAATTTGCTAGAGGAAGTATAAAGTTATATATTTTTTTAATTTTATCTTAATTTTTTTTTACCATAAAAATAAATATAGAATAAACTTATACTTAAGAAGAAATTTAAGAACTTATTGAATAATATATAAATGAAGATAAATATGGATCACAATAAAAGAAGTTTTTTTTTTATACATAAATATATTAATTTTTATAAAAAAATTATCAGGCATTAAAAAGAAGACATTATTGCTAAAATGATTATGAAGTAATTTTCTTAAAAATTAATATTAAAATATAATATTTTAATAATTAAAATAAAAAGTTAAGGAAAGTTTAATAAAATTAATTTATAAGTAGGAGAAGATACTTTTTAAAGTGAAAAATCTTTAGATTCTTTAATAAAAGATTTTCAATATGATATTTAGGATGTGGTTGAAGATAACTAAGATGATTATACTTAATTGTTATAAAAACTGGCTAAAAAAAGTTATAAAATATATAAAAATAATAATAGTTATTAAATATAATAGAAAGTAGAACTGTTAATGAAATTGAAATAGAAATCTAAAGTTTAAAAAAAAGATTAGAATATACTGAAGAATAAGCTTTAGTCAAAATTGCTTTAAAATAAGAATAAGATTATTTAAGAAAATTATTAAGACTTTAAAAATTAACTTCGAAAGTACTTTGATTATAAAAATAGCATAATTTGTTTTTTTTATTTTTTATTTAAATAAAGATAAAACTAATTAAATTTTATTTTTATTTTTATTTATTTTTTTAAAATGCTTATTTCACTAATTTTAAATATAATTTTTTTTAAAAATAAATAAATATATAAATGCATTTGTAAAATAATTTAAAAGAATAATAATTTGTAGGATTAAAAGCGATTTAATTTAAATTTGATTTATTTTTAGAAACCATTTTCATGTCTTTATCATTTCCTTGTCAAATATAAATAATATGGAAAAGGGGTTTTTTATTTTTTTAATAAAAAAATTAATTTTTATAAAAATATAAAAGGAACTAATAAAGTTCATACTAACAAAGCCATTAATATAATTCCTAATTAAAATATAACTTAAATTAATGAAAATTTATCCTTAATTACAACTATTTTTTAAGATTTTTAGCAAAAAATATTACCAAAAAAAGTTTAAAAAATTAATATACATAAGAAATTCTATTTTTTTTTTGTTTAAACAAAAAATAAAAAGTCAACAATAACAATAGTAATTATTACCGATGTTGGAAAAAAAGTAGGAGGAGTAGCTGAAATATATTTAAATGATTTATTTTAACAATTTTAAAATTAAGATTTAAATAGTAAAATCTAAAATAAATAATTTTTTTTTTTAAAAAAAAACTAATATTAATAGAATTAGTAAATTAATAAATAACTTTATAATAAAATTTAAAACTTCAAAAATGTCCTGATTAGAAATCTACGCTTAAAATTTAAATGAAAATTTAATTTATTTAATAATGTAAAGAAATTGATGCAATCAGTATTAATAGTTATACATCTATTTAAAATTAAACACTTAATAATGAAAATAATTATATATAAGAATAATAGTTAAATGATAGTAAAAGTATCGATTTTAATAAATTTAATTTTTCTTTTAATAATAATATATTAAATGGTATTTTTATTTATACTAATTTATATATATTCTTAATTTAGAATCATATCAATAATAATAAAAAAATTAATTTAATTCTAATAGTAAGTTAAATATTATTAGTAGTAAAAAAGAAATAGAGGATTCGTTAAGGAAAGCGCATAGTGTAAATAAATTTTAACATTCAGATGATTCATAAAGAGTCAATAATTAAAAAACTTAGTTTGGGAAATTAGATGATATTCAAAAATAAGTGGAAAAATTATAATATGAAAATGATAAATTAAAAGATGAACTTATAAAATCTAAATTCAAAAGTGAAGATAATAATACTATTTAAGAAATTATTAAAATATAAAAATAAAATGAAAATTTTTAGAATAAAATAAATGAAGTATTTTTGTTATTAATTTTTATATTTAAAATAAAATTTCATTAAAAAAGCAAGAAAAAACTATAAATGAATAACTTAATTAAATACAAAAGTTCAATGATTAAATTAATGATTAATCTGTATTAATTTTAAATTTAGAAAACTAAAATAATTAGTAAAAATAGGAAATAAATAAATAAAAAAATGAAATATCTTAATTAAATAATAAATTAGATTAAAATAATAACAGGATATAAATATATGAAAATTAATAAGAGAAAATTTAATCATAACTCGATGAAAGTTACAAAATTAGTTAAGAAGCTTAATAAGAAATATTATAAATTTAAGAATAATTAAAAAATCAAGTTTAAAAAGAATAAGAGATTATTAATAAAGTAAAAAAATAAAAAAAAAATATTAATTTAAGAAAAAAGTATAAATTAGAGTAAATTTAAATAGTTTAAGAAAAAGATTAAGTTATAAAAAAATAACAAGAAAATATGTTATCTTTAGAAAAAGAAAAAGATAACTTAAATTAATTAATTGACTCATTTTAATCACTTTAAAATGAATAAAGTTAATTATTTTAATAAGAAATAATGAATTAAGCTTAAAAAAATGAAGAGTTAGTAGAAATAATTAAATTAAAAGAAAATCAATTTGAGAAGGAAATTTAGAAAATTTATTTTGAAAAAAAAGTAGTTTAAGATAATTATTAATAAAAAATAGAACATTACTAATAATTATAAATAAATGTATTTATAAAATATTATTTAACTTAATATTTTTTTATATTTAGTATGATAACATATAAGAAAAAATTTAAAATATAGAAAATTTATTAGAATAAAAAGATGAAGAAATAAATAAATTTAATGAATAATTAGAAGAAGAAAAAAATAAAAATTAAAAAAATATATATATTCAAGAATAAATGAAGGGTTATTTGTAAAAATAAAAAGAAGAAATAGATTAATTAAATTAAATTAATTAATAAAAATAATAGGAACTTGAATAAACTTCCCAAAATATTGAAAAATATTAATTATAGATGCAATAAAAAGAAGAATTTTTCTAATAAGAATTTATTAAAATAAAAAATGAATTCTAAAATTAACTTTATGATGAGATATAGAAGGAATAAAATAAGTTTATCTTTTTTTAGGAAAAATGCAAATAGTTTATTTTATATAAAGAATAATAATCAATAGAAAATATTTAAAAAGAAAACGAAGAAAAGTATAAAATCTTAAAAAATGATTATTAAATATAAATTGAAGATTTAAAATAAATTATTAATGAATAAGAAAATATTAATTAATAACTAAAAAATAAAAATACATAAATGTAAAAAAAAATAGATAAATTGGAAGAGGAGAATACTTAGATAAGCTTAAGAATGATTAAAGAATTAGATTAAATAGTTGTTAAATAAAATAATTTTTAAAATGAATTCAAATAAAAAATATTTGAAAAATAAAAATTAAACTAATCTATGATGTGATGATTTAACTAATTAAAATATTTTTTTTTTAAATAAAATAAAACTTTTATGCTTTTACATATATATATATATATATTTTTTTTTCTTTTAATTAAAAAAATATTTTACTCTTTTATTTAAAATAAAATAATGGATTTTGTTAGAGTTAAAAAGTTTTTTCATAAAGACTTCAATGTTAAAAAATCGAAATTTAAAGATGAGTCAATTGTAAAAAAAATAAAAATATAAATAATGCGAAATTTCTTTTATAAGTTTTAATAATTTAATGAAAGTTAAGTTTGACATGTTATCATTTTTCACGAGAAAATTAAATAATATCGGTCGGTTTAATAAATGGTTCGATTTTGGAATTCCATAAAAAAGGCTTTGAAACTAAAGTATATATTTTTTTAAAAAACTAACAAATAAAGATAATAATTTTTTATAAAAAAATAAGAGCATTACAGAAAAAAAAGAATATGAAATAATTGAATATGACTAAGTGAAAAATATTCATAAAGGCGAAGTTAAATGCCTTATTTCTTAAAAAATATTTAATAATAGATATATATTCACTGGTAGTGTTGATAGAACAATTAAAATATGGTAATTATTATTTAATATTATGTATAATTTTTCTATATAATATTAGGGATACTGATTAAAAAAAAAAAGCTATAGTTTAGACTTTAGTAGGTCATTAAGGTACAATTGTGAGTTTATAATATTCTTAAAAAAATGAGACTCTATTTTCTGCTTCAAATGATAAAACATTTAAAATATGGAAGTATATAAAAAAATAATTAGATAACTTTATTTTATAAATAAAATATAAAATTAATTAAATTAATTTAAATTTTTAAAATAGATAAGAGGAAGGAAGAGAATTATTTTATCATCCATGGTTTGTTTGTTTTTAAATTATTTATGATTTCTCAATGAAAAAGATGGTAAATAATAGCACCTATATCACCTGTATACATTGCAAAGAAGGAGAAAATGTCTAATTATATGCTGGAGATACAGAAGGTTAATATTTAAATTGCTTTATATATATAAATAAATAAAAACTAAGGTTCAATACATATAATAAGGCCTGAAACATTAAAAAAAAGTAGTGGATATGTTTTAGAAAAATCAAATTATAATTATCATAGATTACATGTAATACAATTTATAAGTGTTTCTAAAGATAATTAATTATTTACTATTGGTTATGATTAGAAAATATTAGGATTCGAAGAATTAGCTAGTAAATAGTTTTTTAGTTTAAAAAACCCACACAAATGTCTTTTTACAAGTATTTGTTGGAATATTTCATAATCAGTAATTTAAATATTAAAAACTTAAAAAATTAAAAAAAAAAAATAGGAACTTATTGCAGCTGATGAATAAGGAAGGATTTATTTTATTAATATTCATTCTGATAAAGCTATATAAGAATTTCATTTATATCAATAAAAAATACTTAGTATTGAAATTATTGAAAATCTTTAATAACTATTAGTTGTTACAGCTAATTTTATAGATGTTCTGAGGATTAAAAGAGGTGTAAAAGCTGGAAACATAACAGAAGCTCATACAGGTCCAATAATAGATTTGTATGCATTAATACCTTATAAATTAACAGATAAAAAATATAAAGATACTCCTAAGTTATTTTTTTTTCTTCAATTAAATTATTTAAATAAATAAAAAAAAGATTAATAAGTACAAGCTTAGATAATACAATAAGAGTTTGGGATCCAAAAGATATGCAATGTCAAAATTTATTAGAAAATAATGAAAAATAGGAAATTAGTTGTTTAAGTTATTTAAAATAAGCAAACTTATTTGTTACAGGACATGAAGATGGGAATATTAAATTATGGAATATAGAACTTAATAGTTGTCTTGTCTTAGATTAATAACCGCCTAATAAACACTGGGATTCTATTTAATGCTTTGCTTCTTGTATTTTTGTATAGAAAAAAACATAGTCGGAAGAAAAAATTGAGTTCTTGTTTTCTTCTGGGTATGATGGAAAAATAAATGTTTGGGAAATTTTTGAAAAAAAAAGCTTTGCATAAAATACTTTTTCAGGATCTATTATTTGTCCTTAACTTAAAAGTTCGATTATTGTAGATCCTTAATTAGAAAATTGTGTATTTATATCTTATTTTTTATTTAAAAATAATAATAATTTTATTTATTCGAAGGTTGGATAAATTGAAATCTTATTTTTAGTTATTGATGAAAAGGAATAAAATATTATTGCAGCAGGAAATAGTGGAAAACTATATTATATTAAAATTGCATAATAAAATAATAATTCTAAAATTTCTATAGTAAATATATATTTAAAAATATTTATAAAAAAATATATAGAATGCACATAATAACAGTATTAATATATTAGTAATTGAAGGAAGAATATTATTTAGTGGTTCAGATGAAATGGTAATAAAGCTTTGGGATTTAGATTCTAAATAGCATATTAATACTTTAGATCATTTTTAAGAACCAGTAGTTGATATGTTAATTATTTAAGAATCAGGACATTTGATTAGTTGTTCTTTTGAAGGAAAGATACGAGTTTGGGATTATATACATTCTGAATGTATAAAGGTATTTATATTATTATATTATATATTTTAATATTTAAAAAAGACTTTGGAAAAAAGTGAAAAGTTTAGATGTATAACATATATATATGATGAAAAAGAATTAAATGAAGATGAAACTTAAGTTAGAAAAGAACTTATTTTATATGTTGGGTCTGAAGATAATAATATTTTTTAATTTTAATTAGATGAATTGCTTAATGATAAAATTATTGCTGATTAAAAAAATATAAAAGAATTAATTATTAAATTATAAAATAATGAATAATAGTTAAAACAATAAGAAATTATAGATAATCTATTATACCAATAAAAAAAAATTCTAAAAGAATTTAATTAAATAATATGAAAATAAATAAATTACAAAAATATTAAAATAATTATTAATTGATAAATATAATATATACATATATATTTTTAAAATATTTATTATTATAATAAATTTATATTTTAAATATAATAATAATTACTAATTATAAAAATTACAAAAAATAATTAAAAATAAGTTTAAATGTTATATATATATATATAATATATATATATATTTATATATATATATATTTATATTTATTTATATATATTTATATATATTTATACATATATTTTTGTTTTCAATATAATTTTTACTTATCTTTATTTTATATTATAATTTTAAAAGATAATAGAAATAATTTATTATAAATTTAGTAATAATTACAAAATTAATATTTAATCTAAATATTTTTTTAAGAATATTCTCATATTGAATAATAATTTTTACTAATTTTAATAATTTGATTTTTATACTAATTCTTTTATTTTTTTAAGTAAAGCCGAAAAAAAGAATAAAAGTTTTTAGCTCTAGTTATAAATTTATCTTTAATAATTAATTAAAATTGTACTAATTTATTATTATAAAAAGGACTCAATTTATTTATTTAGATACTTAAATCTATAAAAAGATAAGTATATGTTTTCGCGAATGCGAATCAGTTTTTGGTATTAAAATTAATTAATTTGCTTCAAAATTTTAATTAATCCTTAATATTTATAAAAGATAAAATAAAAAGAATAATAAAGAAAATAAAACTAAAATAAAAATTTATAATAATTTAAAATATTATCAGATATATTAACTTTAGTTAGATGATTAATTAATATAGTTTTATTATGATTATTTACTTAGATTTTACTTTATATTAAGAAGTTTATTTATTACATATGAAAAAACTAATATTTATTAGTAAATAATAATGAAAATAAATTTTTAAAATTTGAGTGTAAAATAAAATATAATTTTTTATATAAAATATGTATGAAATCTTTTTATAATTTTTAAAAATAAATTATATTTTTTAAAACTATTGTTTATTATGTATTGTTAATAATTTAGCTTTTAAATTTATGGAATATTATTAATTATAATTTTATTAACTTTTTATCTAAGTAATAAAAATAAATTTTGAACTATATAAATTTGAATAACTAAGAATATATTTCAGTTCTAAAAATAAAATTAATATCCTTTCTCTATAAATATATAATAAATAGATATAAACCATATAAAAACAAAGAGTTTTGTAACTCAAAAACAAGTAAACCTAAAATGAAAAGATTTCGAATAAAAGAATAATATTAATAAAAATGTCTATCTATTAGAAATTCTAATTAAAATATAGTTTTATTTAAATATAGGAAGGAGTATATTTAAGTTTCTTATCAAAAAAATTAATATTATTTTTACATAAATCAAATTAATTTTTTTTTTTATAATTTTAAAAATATAGTGTATTATTCTTTATTCAAATTTTTTACTTTTCCTAACATGTTTGATTAATTTCTTTATTTTATATATTTCAATTATATTTTTTATTTAAATTTTAATTTATTCACTTTAAGTTTTTCTATTTATTTTAAAAATAACTTTAATTATTTTATATATATTTCACTAAAGATTTTTTTCAAGATACATTATATTCAATACTTTAACAATTTTTTAAATAAATTTTTTTTAAAATATATTCAAAATATAAAATACTTTATATTATAATAAATATTTACGATTACAAACTTTTCAAGTACTAACGAAACATTAGAATAAATCGTTTTTTATTTAAAATCTCCTTATAAAAATATTTAACATAGTATTTATTTAATATTTAATTTCAAAGTATTTCTTATGTAATAATATTTAATAAATCTCAAATATCTTTTTTACATATTTGGTTCAATCCTGCTACATTTCATATTCTTTTATACGATTTTATATATATATATATATAATAATAAGAAATAAAAAAATATAAAATTAAATGAATAAATAAAAGTCAAAAAAAATCTAATTAGATTCATTAGATAAAAATATAGGTATATAATTAGTTTTCTAAACAAGTAATTAATATTATTATAAAAAAAAATGCATTTAATAAATTATTTAGTATTTATTTATGTCTTTCTTAATTAAAAAGAGATATACATGCAAACATTTCGTAAACTAAAATTCTAAAAATTCACTAATCATAATATTTTTATATCCTTTTAAGGAGCTAAATATTTAAGAGTTAAACAAATACTATTCATAATATTCGCATTTTAATGTAAAATAAATTTAAGTGTTTATATATAGATATATTATAATATGGCATTTTTAAATTACGGTATATTATATTTTTATTATGTTTAATACTAAAATAATTTATAATGAATAAAATATACAATTAACTATGAAATATAATTAATAGTCTGAATAAAAATCATTTAATAACTTTATAATAAATTAAAAGTATATTTATTCTAATATTTTTTACTATTATAAGGTGGTAATATTTTTGTTTAAATATGCTTTTTATATTAATTAAAAAAAAATAACTNTTTTAATAATTAATATATAAAAATAATATATATGTATATATATATATATATATATATATATATATATATATATATATATATTATTATTATTATTTTATTA